TCCCACCTGCTGCATGCAGCTGCCAAATCATGCTGGCATTCCCAGGCAAGTCCTCTCCGCTCTCCACTTCACTCCATGGCAAGCCATCCCCCCCGACCCACCCACACAGGTGACCTCATGCACCAGCTTCCCAGAACAACACCTCAGAAGGCTGCTTCCCTCCACCTTTCTTGCCTTCCCACCAAAAATGTCCCTTACAGAAACCTCATGTCCTTCATCTCTTGGCACTTGCCCACACATTCTCCATGTCCTGCTCAGCTGCCGGCTCCCCCAAGGACCCCTCCCAGACCCCACAGCTGGATGTGGCCTTTCCCTTCTTGAGGCTCCTGGGGCACGTCACGGCTGTGTACCCATCTGGCCCTGACTGCTCCCTTAGGCCCTTGATCCAGGCATCAATCTAATGATGTGGTAAGGATGCAGATGCTGACGATGGGAATGTATTCTATTTCCTAACAGGGGCCTGAACAATGTACTATGGGAGCAAAGGAGAGGGAACTACTAAATCAGCTCTGGCTGGAGGGGAGGCACAAGTCACAGAGGAGGAGAGGCTAAACAACGTCTCCAGGGATGGAGAGCACGCTGCTGATGGGGGTGTGGGAAGTCAGGGCACATGTCATGTGCAGTGTGGCAAATCGTCCTGTGTGGCTGCAGCAGACAAGCAGGGGTGCTGGGAGCTTGAGCTGTGAATGGACAGGGCCTGCAGGAGGGAGAGCCTCCAGAAAGTAGGTGCACAAGACCAAGAACAGGGCCCTACTAAGGCAGCTGCTGCAGAGCGGCCACAGTTCTTTCTAACCCATCCAGGCAGAGGATGCCCATGCCCTGACTGTCATTGGTTGTTCTGAGACTCACACCTGGGGCTCACTGCCCTCCCGACCGCCACGTGCTAGCTTGTCCCTGCGAATGGGTAGTCCTTGCCTGGCCTCTCTGTGAACCAAATTAGCAGAGCACCACCCTGGGCCACTGGCGTGGCCTGGACAGGCACGTACTCACCCTGGCCTTCTGCTTCTCAGCCTGCAGCTGTGCGTCGATCTCCTCAGGGCTCGTATACTGCCTCGCCCGGCCTTTGTGGCCTCCCTTTCTCCCTGCAGGGACCCGCAGTTTAGAATGTGAGGGGGGAGGCAGCTGCCTCGACTGTTCTGACCTCCCAAGGGCTGTGTCCTGCTTGGAGTGCTCTCATCAGAGGCCACAGAGGCCTCACCTACCCCTCACCCAGCACCACCCAAACCAACACCTCCTCCACCCTGTGTTCAGAGGCACACAGGAAGCAACTTGGGACCATCTGATGCATCACCAAACTGTGTACTAAATGATGGCTCCCACACAGAAGACCGGAGGGGAGGACATGGCGGACGATGCACTGCAGTGACTGGCCACATCCCCTGGTCCCTTACAATCCAAGCATAGTGGACTCGGATGCAACCACAGAAACATGTACCACTTACACCCCTGCCGTCACTATAAGGGCTTTTTTCGCAATGTTTGGTCACAGCCAGGGGCGCATTTTTTTATTTTTATTTTTTCTGAGACGGAGTCTCGCCCGAGCTGGAGTGCAGTGGCACAGTCTCGGCTCACCGCAACCTCTGCCTCCCTGGTTCAAGCGATTCTCCTGCCTCAGCCTCCCAGGTAGCTGGGACTACAGGCGTGGGCACTATGCCCAGCTAATTTTTGTATTTTTAGTAGAGACGGGGTTTAACCTTGTTGGCTGGCCAGGATGGTCTCGATCTCTTGACCTCGTGATCCACCCACCTCAGCCTCCCAAAGTGCTGGGATTACAAGCGTGAGCCACTGCGCCCGGCCAGTCAGGGGCACATTTGATTCTCAGAACAAACCTGTGGTACAGGAGTGATAGCTGGTCCCATTTCATAGACTAGGAGACTTAGACCAAAGCAGAGTGCTGAACACCACGAAGTTTAGAGTCTGACTCCCAGGTTCTGCGCTTACTGGCTTGATGACTTTGGGCAGGTATTTAACCTCTCAGTCTCAGTTTCCTCATCTGTGTCCCTACCTCACAGGGTTGTCACAAAGATAGATGAATTTATCAATATACAGAAAGCTGCTGGAACAGTGCCTGCTACTGAATAAGCACTACAAAAATGTTCACTAATAGCTGGGCACGGCAGCTCACGCCTGTAATCCTAGCATTTTGGGAGGCTAAGGCAGGCAGATCACTCGAGGTCAGGAGTTCAAGACCAGCCTGGTCAACATGGTGAAACCCCCTCACTACTAAAAATACAAAAATTAGCTGGGCATGGTGGCATATGCTTGTAATCCCAGCCACTTGGGAGGCTGAGAATCGCTTGTACCCGGGAGGCAGAGGTTGCAGTAGCCAAGACTGCGCCACTGCACTCCAGTCTGGGCCACAGAGCAAAAAAATTTAAAAAAAAATAGCTAATGGTTATTTTTCCCTCTAATCTAGTATTTGGTGGAAAAACAACAACAACAACAAAAACCACCACTGAGCACATAAGCAATTTACTGCAGATATCAGAAATACAATAAAATACCTCATGTTCATCTTAGTAGTTTGGCAAAAAGAGAATACTTAAGGCAAAA